ATTTGCACTTAAAAGAAGTGGGAGGTATTAAATCAGCCTCTGGCCAGATAGTCATTGTATAAACAAGAGCTGTTAACTCCTACTTGATAGCAGTGATAGCAAGGGGAAAGGAAAACAGCCCTGCAGTGTCATGACCAACCTGACACAACACGTTTTGGTTTGGGTCTGGGGAAAAAAAACCAAACAAACAAACAAAAAAACAAACAAACAAACAAAAAAACAAACAAACCCCAATAAACCCAAACCAACCAAAAAAAAAACCAAACCCCTGAGAGTTCAGGACTCCAGCAGAACGCGGCTCTGCGCGGGGCCGGGGGGCTGGAGAGCTGCACAGCTCCGCTCGCTGCCCAGCAAACCCGGGTACTGGTGAATTTTATGAGTCAGAGCGAGGGAAAGAAACTGTTTTCAGCTGAGCTCACTCACCACTTCCTCTCCTGGCGTTGGGCTCCCCCGGCAGCCCACTTATCTTCCCCCTGGAGCCGTGCCCACCCTCCCTGCCCGATACGCCTCTATCGCTCGCAGGCCCCAGCATTCAGCACCGGGTTTGCTCCTGAGTTTGCTCACTCACTCACTCACTCACTCAAGCACTCTCGAGTTGTTCGCTGCGGCTAATCAAATGTCAAAACAAGCTACCCCTGTGATTTTGAGAGCTTTTAAACAGGAAGACATTTGCCACTGATACACGAGCGCCGAGCGCGTTTGTCTGGGGCTCAGCCTAGAACGGGTTTCAGGGATTGCTCAGGACTGGTTTCAGTTGCAGCAAGTCTCTGCCGGGTAGGAGCTGGTTTTGTGGTCTCTCTCTTTGGAGGAATAAAGTCCGTACGAGCCCGTGGCAGAGGTCCCACCACTCGCCCAACGCCAGCGCTCCCGTCTCCCGCAGGGACAGGGCAGGAGCGCGCCCCGCTCCTCGGCTAATTAAACCGCGGGTTGTAGCCCGGCTCTGAATCATGTGCTCCGGGGCTAAAGCAGTGAGCTTTCAGCATGTGAGAAGTGATAAATTCGGAGGCGTCCAGAAGCCCAGGAGTCCCCAGGAAAGGTGCTGAGGACCGTTCGGTTGCCGCGCAGCCCGCAACGAGGCGCAGCACCCGCAGAGCCCCCCGACCCACCGCGGGCCAGGCCGGGCCGGCGGCTGCGGAAGAGCAGGACCCTGTGAAAAGGACAATTTTGATTCCGAAACTGGTCTCTGTGCAGGTCTGGAAGCAAAACTGTCTTTTCTGCAGGTACCTGCTCTTCAGCAGCCTGGGTATCCTCCTTGTCGCCCACCCCGAAGCATCCCCTTGCCCGTGGGAAGGGGTCAGAGCCCCCCAACCCCTGCGGGGGGGCTATTGGCAGGGTTCCCCCACCCCGTACCACCCCGGTGGGATGAAAGGTGCAGCGTGGGGTTTGGGATGCCCGACGTGCTGGGGGGGGCTCCAGCACTGTGTGACTGGGTTGCCTTGAGCTCCCCGGCTCCGGGAAGGAGCCGGAGGTTCCGCCAAGGGCTTGGTTTGCCCTGGCAAGGCGCAGCCTCAGGCTCTCAGCAAAGCAGGCAACAATCCCGTGCTGCCCGTGAGGATGTGCGAGAAGTTTCACCGGAGCGGGAAGAAAATGGAAGAGGGGGAAGATGAAGATGCCCCACACCATCATCCCCAACAAGCCACGGCGTCTGTCTGCAGAGGATTTGGCCCACAAGCCGCCTGGGTGCTGCAAGGCTGAGGGATTCTCCGTCCCCGGGAGCCCAGCGGGCAGCCGACGCGTTCCCCCTTGCAGGATTTAGCTCTTCCTTAGGGGCTGCCCGAGGTGCTGGGGCGGCAGCACCCACCCCAGTGAGGGCACCCGGCCCCGAGAAGCTCCGGGAGCCGCTGTGCTCGCACCCGGCCTTCCAAGCCATCGCTTATCCCAGCCGAAGGCTGAGCACAAGCTGCTCCCGGGAGCTGCCAGCTTTGCGCGGCGCTCGCCCTGTGTTTTCTACTTTCCTCTCAGCACATCTCCAACGTCTTTAAAAAAAAAAAAAAAAAAAAAAAATACCCACAGCTTCCTGAAGGCTCCACAACAGAGAGAGATGCTTCTGTTGCTCAATCTGTTGCTGGTCTGGAAATGAAGCATCTCCCTCCTCAGAAGCATTTAATCAAAGACGGAGAGCGCGTGCACGCGCGGCAATCGGAGCAGAGAGCCCCGACGCTGCCCTCGGCCAGGAACGGAGTCGGCCAAGCCGCTCGCTGCCAAGTGCCCCGGCCGGGGACAACGAACCCTCTCGGGGTCCGTGGGGACCGAGGCAGCTCCTGGGGACGGGGACATGGAGCTGGGGCTGCAGCGCCGGAGGAGGGAGTTGAAGCATCAGCCTCGCCGCCTCCCACCTCGAATTACTCCCAAGCTTTAGGTTTCCTGCTCTGCCAGGCGTTTTGCTTAAAAATCCCCCACCAAGCAGCTGCTGGGGGGGCCGGGGCTGCGGCCGTGCCACCCCACAGAGCCCGGCCTCGTGCCGGCTGCGGGGTTAGGAGGGGGCGATGCCCGCTGCCATCATAGGAAGGGCGTTGGGAGCAGACAGGCACAGACTTTGTCCCAGCCCGAGACAAGGAGAATGCTGTGGGTTTGTTTTTAGACAAATGAATGGATTTTACTGTTTGACCAACACTCATGAGAATGCCAGTCAGTGCGAATTTGGCAGGAGGTCTGACACTTGTCAGCTTTGGTTTATAACGGGAGAAAAGCAGCCAGCTCTCCGGAGGAGAATGACGTGCGTGCGTTGCCGTGCGGGTTTGTTCTCGGAAGAATGTGTGGCAACAGAAGATCAAGCAAATACTTGGGACCGCTACATCATGGAGGACTTTGTCAGCTAGCCGGAAAGTTTGAGAAGGGCTTCACACTCTTTAGAGGCAGCCAGGCCACTGCTTGGAGCCGACGGCAGCGTGGGGGTTGTGGCTCCCAGCAGCATCGCTGCGGCATCCCTAAGGAGAGCTGGGGGAGCGCTGACAGTGAGCAGCCGTGTCGGCCCCGCTCCTCCACAGAGGAGAAGGGGAAGCTGCCGGCGTTTTCCTTGTGGGGGGGCTTTGCCACAGGCCCCCCCGGCCCCTGCCTGCCTGCCCGCTGCTGGACACAGCCCTGCCCCGGGGGGGGGTGCTTCAGTTCCCAGCGGGGGGGGGAAAAGCCACGGGAATGACGGCTGGGGCGCAGCCCTGCCCCAACACCAGCCTGCGCCTGCACCCCAAAACCACCTCAGCCTCCGTGCACGAGTAGAGGAGGGCAGGAGCTCATTTTCCCTTGCTCAAGTGGGGGGTTTGGTCGAGACGTGGGGGGGAGCTGGGGGGGGAGCTCAGCCGGGATTTCCAGCCTGGCGAGAGCCCGTGAGGCGTTTCAAGCCGGCCGGCCGCCCGCAGCTGGGAACAGAATCTCTTTTTATTTAAAGCCATCGCCTCGGCCACATTTCCCATGCAAAAGCCAGAAGCTGGTGCAAAAGGCACATGTGCAATTTACTTTGTTTTGTTTTTTAAAGGCTGCCCAGCCTGCAAAAAGGGAATGAGGGTTTCTCTGCCTCAAACAGCTCACCAGAACCGCTTATTCTGCAACATCTATTCCAGGCAGGCTCTCCGTGTTGACAAAGCCTTCGGACAGGGAAGGTCAAACGTCTGTTGGGACGGTTCCCTCTTCCTGCCTCTCTCGCTTGCCCAGGGATGCTCGAGGGTCTCCGGCGCTGGAGATGGGCCGTCCCTCCGGCACCCACCGCACACCCCAGTCAGGAGAAACCCAGAGCCGCTGTGTCGGCCCCCCCCCCCCCCCCCCCCCGAGGTGACGCTGCACCAGGAGCCGAGAGCTCAGCCTGTAAAACGACCCTGACCAAACAGACCAGACCAACTCCGAATGAATCACTACGGGCGATGGAGCAAATCATCCACCTCTCCGCAAGGGCAGCAGTCGCCTTTCCCTGGGCTGCTTTGGAGCGGGGCTTTGGGAGACAGGGCTTTCTAGCGAGCGTCCGAGAGCCCCGCGACTCGCCGTGCTGGGGAGGGTGCGCTGCACGCATGGCTGCAGGGCCGGTGCTTGCTTTTCTCCCGGCAAGAGATTTTTCTCCAAGGCACGCCGAAGCTCTGACGTTGACCTGTGGTAAGGCAGCTCCTTCCCCTCCGCGCCGACAGCTCAGGCTGATGCTGCAGCCCGCCTTTGCTGTGGTCTAGGTGGCCCTCGAGTATGGGTTTGGTAGGCTCCACCCAGTGCCTAATGAGTGTTTGCCTGCTTTGCTGTGCAATTTGGCATGATGGGCAGCCTTTGCTCAGGAGCTGCCCCAGTCTGGGAAAGATAAGGGTGTTGCAGGCCAGCTCCGAGCGGGATGACAGAGCTGTTTGCAGGCAGCTCCTCTGATCTGCCCAGCTCTGCTATTACTCCCCGAGCAACCATTAATAACCGGAGTCATTACGGGGTGCTTTTCTATTCAGAGGCTTAACAGCTCTCTAAAGTCAAATGAGCGAGGCGGGAGGTTACGTGCTTCACCCCGGTTGCACAACGAGGCCAGGGCTGAGCCAGGAGCCAAACCCACACCTAATCACCGGGCCACAGCTCAGGCTCAGACCCGGGCCCGGGGCCAGGCTGGGGCTCCTCGGTGAGACCAGCTCGGGGCTCAGGCTGGGGCACGCTCGTCCCTGAGCTGGCGGGGGGTTCCCTGCGCAGGGACCCCGACCTCAGGGGTCTTGCTCTCCCCTGGAAGGGTTCAAGGTCAGGTTGGACGGGGCTTTGAGCACCCTGGTTTAGTGGAAGGTGTCCATGCCTGGGGCCGGGGGGTGGGACTGGGTGGGCTTTAAGGTCCCTTCCAACCCAAACCATTTGGTGACTCTATCAACTTTGATCTGGGCGCTGCGGTCTGCCCGGCTTCAAGCAGTGGGTGCACGGAGGAGGATCAAGCTTTTTTTGCCTGTTCTGATTCAAACTCACCCCGCTCCAAAGACTCGTTTGACCTTCAGTACTGCAGCATCCCGACATCTGCTCAGGCTCCGATGGGTAAGAAGGTCCCCAGAGCTCCTCACACATACCTCCCTGTCCCCTTCCCCGTCACAACCTCGTCCACCCACCGCTCCCATCATGTTGTGGTGGACCCCCAGCACAAAAAAACAGACACAACACCGGCATGCCTCAGCCCTCCCTTGCCCGGGTAGCTGCGAGGCAGCCGTGGTCCAGGACGTTCCCACAATATCTGCTTTATAAATAAGCCTCCGAGGCGAAGGGATCGCTGTGACGAGGAACCTCAGCCTGGCACCTACGGTGATTGAGCAGGAGGGAAATGCGGTTCTTGGGTACCGAGCAAATTTCTCCCGGGTTTCCCCGCACGAGCCCGCTGACCGCCTGGGGTAGAGGAGGACGGGGGGAGCTCACAGGCTCTGGGAAGTTTCCTGATTTCCCGAGAGTGGGGTAAGACCCCTGTGCCACGCGAGGTTGCAGCCCCACGTCCTGGCAGCCCTCGCTGGGAAAGGGGCAGCCCAGCAGCCTGGGGAGGCTGGAGGTGGCTTGTCCTCCAGTAAGGGACACCTGATGGTCCCCCTGTTCCTAACTGGTGTCAGAGGTGGCTGCTCCCGGGGCTGTGCCAGTCACAGCAACCTCCTGCTATAAGGGATCATCAGTCCTTAAAATAGCTCTATATCATTAGTTACATCTAATTGAAGGTGTTTTGAATGCAACCTCCACAACACACAAACCAAATGGGAAATGACATACCATCAAATTAATGCCCCCAAACCATGATAAATGACTGGTTAGATGACTAATGTTTCTATTTCTTGGTTTAAGGGAGAACAATGCCGCCTGGCCCAGCATTTATCTGCCTTGCCTGCAAAAGGTCACCCGGCATCCTCAAAATAAATGGGACCATCGCTCTGCGCTCTCCGCGTGCTCGGGGCTGGAGCAGGGTGAGCCTTGACCATCGCCACGCCGAGCGAGCCGGATCCTCCCCGCTCCCTTTCGGCTCCATCACTACGGCCATCCCAGGCCGCCTCGGAAAATCCTTCCCTGATGATGCATCAGGGGAAGCCAGTCGTCAGAGCGACGCTTTATTGGATTGGGGTTTTGACATCTGAGAGGACTCGTTGCTACGCTGGCTATTTTATTAAATCATTCAAAGACACTTCTTTAATAGTTCCAGAAATATCAACTTTTCATGTGGCTGGGGCGGCTTGCTGCGCCGCACCTGGAAACGGCACAAATTCTCTCTCAGGTTCAAAGCATCCTGGCTTCTGATACACCGCGTGTAATTAGAGATAATTGAAGCGAGCGCGTTCAAAGGAGCCCGAGGAGCGGCGGAGCGGAGGAGCCGGCTGCGCTGTCGCGCGGCACCAGCGGCACCGGGCGCCCCGACCCCCCCCCCCCCCCCCCCCCCCCCCCCCCGCCCACCCCCGGACCCTCGGCACCGCCAGAACCCGAATGTGCAGGGCTGCCACGGCAGGGCTGGGCGATGCCACGGTGATTTATGGCGAAACCCCGCAGAGGGACAGCAAGCCGGGGCGAGGACGGCTGCGCCGCAGCCCGGAGATACCGCAGCTTGTCCCGACAAGACGCTGTTTGTGTGCGGAGATTAAAGTCTCCTGTTCAGTAGCAGGAAAAATGCAAATACTGTCTAAACAATCTGTTAATTGTTAAACCACATTATTTAGGGGTAATAATCACGGGAACACCTTGCACTACTAAAATGAGGGCAAGAGCTCTCTGGTCATGGGCTCTACAAGAGGAGGATGTGTCTTGTTTACGGGCTGTGTCTGATGAAAACGAGCCGGCAGAGGTGTGGGAACAGGGGGAAGAAAGGAAATGGGGAAAGTGTGGAAAGAGAGGGTCCAGGGGAACAGCTCTGGTGGCCCTGAGTCCCACGGAGACCCCGTGGAGAGGGAGGTGGCAGGGATGGAGAGGGAGGTGGCGGGGATGGAGAGGGAGGTGGCGGGGATGGAGAGGGAGGTGGTGGGGATGGAGAGGGAGGTGGCGGGGGTGGCGAGGGTAATCCTGCAAATGAAAAAGCTGATCCCACTGATGGAAAAAGCAGATCCCACCGGCTCGGCCTCGCACAGGGAGCTGCCCCAGCCGACGGCACCTCTTGGTGAGGCTCAGTGAGAACTCTGGGTGGGTTCTCAGCTGCTTGCCGCCGCGGGAGCAAGCGCCCTGCCCTTGCCTTGCACCAAGACCCCTCTGGTCCTGCTGTGTTTTCTTTGCCACAGCCCCCGGCCCGGAGGCAGTTGTCACCAGGAGGGTTTGCTGGTGGGACGGGTGCTGTTGGGAGCCCCGGTGGGCTGGTCTCCTTCATCCTGGTGGTGGCATCAAGGCCGGCACGACCCCCGGCGGCTCGAAGCTCTGGGAAAGCCAGCGTGAAGGCTGGGGATTAAAACCAGCTCTCACCAGCACAAGGAGCAGCCCCGTGCCCAGCGCTGCACCCATCGGCACCCGGAGGTCCCTGTGTGGGGAACCCATTCTGGTGTGCTGGATTTTTCTTTTTTTTTTTTTTTTTTTTCCCTGGGTTTGGGAAAGACAGAGAAACCCCCGGGCGGAAAGCAGCTAGCTTCAGAGCCGCGTTTCGACAACCAGGAACTCATGTATATTTTGGATTTTAATCCAATGCGGCTGGGGCCATGTGCAAGATGTAATTTAAGCTCCAGATCAGGGTCCAAATGTTCTCCAAGTGCGGAGATTTTGGCACCGAGGTTTTGGTTTGGTCCCAGCTTTCATGGTAAATTGAATAATCATATGAGGGAGAGGAAAGGAGAAAGAGCAAGAGAGAGAGAGAAAAAAAAAAAAATCAAAACTATAGACAGTTCTTCCAAAAGTGGAAAGAACCAAAACACATTTTGGCTTAATCGGCTCTGAAACGGAGTTATTTCCCTCTAGATCTGGAACAGCCTTTCGAACAATGTTTTTCAATTTAGCTTTTTATTAAAATAAAGCTGTGCCCCGGCAAACCTGCGCAGAGCTGCTGCCTGCGACCGTCGAGGTTCCCCGCACCGCCGCGACCGTACCCGGCTTTATAGCTCCTACTTGTGCCGCTGGCATCCAAACAAACATTTCCTTCACCGTTTCAGAGGCCTCTGGGAGTGGCTGGCTAGGAAGTATGGAGAGAGATCCCTGTGCACATATTTAAATCACCTACTGTTGTGCTAACTTTCTGGCCTTGTATATCTTTTAATTATTCCCATGTTTATAGTTTTCTGCGGCTTAAAGGATTTTTTCCCCTTAAATGCATGTTTTCCTGACAATTAGCCCCGCTGGCTGTAAAAGCGCAGTTGAAGAGCTGGAGACGGAGATGAGCCCGGCCCCAAAATCCAAACCTCCCTCCTCGCTGCGGTGCTGGCAGCCAGTCCCGGCTCAGCACCGTCCTGGTTCAGCCCCATCCCGGCTCAGCACTGGGACCAGTCCTGGCTCAGCACCAGCCCAGCCCATCCCCGTCCTGGCTCAGCACTGGGACCAGCCCTGGCTCAGCACCAAACCCCACTCGGTCCATGCACTGGGAGCTCCCAGCCAAGCGAGCCAGGATCCGGCCAGCCCGGTGCAAGCAGAGGTTGGGAGCTGCCAGGCTTTGCTGTGAAGGATGGGCAGCCGTGGGGCAGCCGTGGGGCGGGGGTTCCGTGGGTTCACGCGAGCCCAAAGCTTCCCCTGCACGCTTGCTTGCATGCAAATTGAAGCGAGCAAATGAAACCCACGGCTGGGCGCTCTCCCCCCACTGCCGCCGGCTCTCCGTGCCGCTAGCCAAGGCTGCCACGGACCTGCTCGGCGGTGGCCACGTCCTCGCCCTCCCCGGGGGACCCATCCCCTCCCCCTGGCCGGTCCCAGGGCCCGCACAGCAGCCAGGAGCTGCTCTCCAGGGGTCCCCGGGGACCCCCCCACCCCATGTGCTGGCCCTGCTCTCCCACGGCAGCAGCCAGGCTGGGGGTCTCCGCGTCCTTTCGGCTGCATTGTTGCCCATAGCAGAGAAGCAAACCGCAGCGTCGCCGCCGCCCCTCGCCGAGCCTTCCTGGCGTGCGAGGGCTTGAGCAGGAGGGGGCCGGAGCCCGAGGGGACCCCTGAGCCCAGCCAGATTTTCCCCGGGGTTGCTCAGGAGGGGGGTCCGGCGAGGTTCACGCACACAAACACTAAACATCCTCAGCCTCCCGGCGCTTCGGGGCAGGCTACGTCGCCACAGCCGAGGCCTCCGAGCATCCCAAGCGGGGCTGGAAACCCTGGGGAGTTTGCTCAAGCACGGCTCAGCCGGGACCGGGCACCTGGCGCTCCGGCCAGCAGCAAGCCGAGCTGGCGAAGGCAGCCCCGGGCACACCCCACGGCTCACGCGTGGGTTTTGTTTTCCTCGCAGCCCCGCAGAGCAGCACCGGGAGGGGAACCCCAGGCCTCCCCCCCCCCCGCCCCCCCCAGGAGCCAGTCCCACCGTTTTTCGCTCTGACTCACCCCGCATCCTGCCCCATGCCCGGCTGCGCGGCTGGAAACTCCCCTGGCACACGTGCGCGGGGCAGAAAAGTCCTTTTTGGGGGGGCAAAAAGGTCCTTTTTGGTGCAGAGCTGCCAGCCCCGGCCCCACCGCACCCCCAGCCATGGGTCCCAGCCTCACCGAGGGGGTTATCCTCTGTGCTTTTGCACCGGAGGAAACCCCCAAAATAACCCCTGAGCTTGGCTGGGTCAGTGGGGATTTACACCGGCGCAAACATCCCAGAATCCTGGGATGCTCGTCCCCTTCCAGGGACGTTTTGACGGATGCACAGCCAAAGAGGGACCCCCTGGAAAAGAGAGGGGGGCTTGCCCGTCACCGCTGGAGCTCATCCTCTGGTCTCCTTCCCCAGCACACGCCTGTGGCCACCTTGAATTTGAAACCCCCACTTGTAAAGCTGCCCCTGAGCCCCTGCGCCCACGCAGAGAGCGGCTTCGGGGTGCAACGGGGTGTGGGGGCCGGGTCCCAGCTCCCGCCGACCCCCCTGGGCCCCCGCACCCCTTCTGGCCCCTCATTACCCAGCGCTTCCCTGAAATTAGATGGGAGGTTTCTGTTAATCAGCTACAAACTATTAAGTCATTGGCCAAACTACTCTCCTGCTACTTTTGCAAGGAATTAGGCCTCTATAAAATCAAACAGC